ACTCCAGACTTAATACGTCCCAGAGTCCACCCAGCTATTTAGGGTACCTGGCTTATGTTTAGAAAGTAAAAGCGACTTAGCGTAGTGCTGACCACACTATCCCTTGGGCCACGGAAATAGCTGAGCTCTACTTCAACTGACTCGCAGATGGTCCGATAGGGTAACTTTTGTGTTCTCTGGCTAATTTAAAATGTAAGGGATGTGTTCTTAGGCATCCTTCATTATACAATAGTTTTCGTTTCTAAATTATAGATATAGATCAAGGGAATAAATAGATTTCATCTAGATCTAGACTCCGGACTAGGAGCTATTTTTGACTTACTGTTTGTGTAAAATAAAGCACGTTACTGATTTCTTTTATACCTAATAGCGTCTTTAAATAGGAAAAGTATTTGCATACTTATGGATACACGTAGTCTTATGTTTACATTCAGTAACAAGATAAGCAATCGTCTTCCTTAAAAGGTTTCTAATAGTTTACAATGTGTATTACGGCCATGTTTATGGTGTCTGGAAAAAAAAAATTGTGTTGATTCATGTTACTACGTCATATGTCTTCTTCATTTGTATTCGAGATTAAATTTTTGTGTTCTTAATCTTAATATTTTTACTTTCCCGTATATACGAAGTATAGAGAAAGTCTTGTAATCGTGCAAAAAAAAAATCGAGATTTTTACAAATCTCGACGTTTTACACCTCACTGATACGGAAAAACATAATTTTACAATCTTGTCCGTATGTCTGTGTGTCTGTCTGTCTGTCTGTCCATGTTTAAACACCATAACTTGAGTACCGTTACAGCTAGGTTGATGAAATTTCATATATAAGTATTTTATCAAAATCGTAGATCCGTATCAAATTTTAAGCGATTTCCGATAACCGGAAGCGGTACTTTTCCTACTTTGAATTTTTCAAAAGCCTCTAACTTGAGTACTATTTCAGATAGATAAATGAAATTTCAAATGTAAGTAAAAGATCTAATTCTCTACCTTCTGTTAAATTTTGAGTAATTTCCGTTGACCGGAAGTAGTAATTTACGCAATTTCCGATTTCTCAAAAAACGCATGTAAATTTTAAAGTACTAATAATATTGCGCACTATTATGCACTTTTTTAATTGGCGTTCACTTGGTGTGCAATTCTTTTGTCTACGAGATTTTATTCTATTTTTAAAACTGTAAGTATTTAAAATGGATTAAAAATCATGTCTCTAGCCCTTCCCATCCACTGTTATTTCATATAAGAATATTCGAGAAAGTTTAGGGGAGATCACTCCCGGTTTATTTGTTCTTATTAAAATGAAGATTTATTTTACACAGGAAAATTTTATGAAAAAGAGATTCGAAAATATTTTTTTTTGTTCGAGAAATAATAGAGATAGATCTAACATGATGTCAAAAGAAGCAAAAACATCATTGCGAATATTTTGATTTGATAATTAGTTAAGGCCTACTCATTTGTAAATGTAAGTTTCAATCTCTCATATTAGCTCGGCCAACTTAAAAATTAATTTTATAATTCCTTTCAAAAGTGTGCGCTTGATTGATTCTCTCAGGCTAACCTGGGACGGAGAGGTCTAGCTGTAGAGAGCTGGACTGCTAACCCGTAAGTCTCGAGTTCGAATCCGGGTTCAAGTCATTAGCCCGTCCCTGAGTCCACCCAACTCTGATGTGTACCTAACTCACGTTAGGGAAAGTAAAAGCGGCTGGGCATAGTGTTGACCACACTATCTCTTCATATGCCGAGGTCACAGAAACTCTACTTCACTTGCCCCATAGACCGTCAGGTTTGGCAAAAAGGTGGGATGGTACCCATTTATCAAGGGTACTAGATCATGGGTTGCATCGAGATGGGTTTGTCTACTCTTAAACAACTAATCCAAAGTCTATTTACAGTACTAATCCAAATTCTACTTACACTATTGTATCACAAACACAAATCTACTTGAACTATACTGTAACTAGCTCATAAATTATCTTTAATTATATCATTAACCTATAGTCTACTGGTATAAATAATTGTAATTTCATTATCTAATCATGCACATTATCAATAATTGCATCAGTTGTTTTTTTTAATCTTGGTTCTATCGAAATTAATATTTTATAGAAACAGAATGGTAAAGGATTCGTTAATTTCTTTTGTTTATTCTATTTTTATGAATGAGATAATCATTTAGGCTAATTTATATTTATATTTTAAAATGTCTCTTTATACTGTTACTTAATTAATAAAAGAAAATATTAGCGCTTTTTTAATATAATACATTGAAATGAAAATGTTCAGTTCATATATAAAAGATGTTTTAGTTACTTAATTAAGCGTATTTTATTTATTTTGGTCTGCTCCTTTCCACTACATGAGTAACTAAGGTCAAACTTGGGTGTATTTTAATCACGGCTTTTATAATGCAGGGTCTACAGTACAAATCACGTTGTATATTGGTTTTTCTTTACCCAAAATATTGATTTAGCTGAATCTTCACATGTCTACTTAATAACTATATTTCATACTAATACATTTTACAAATAAAATCATTTAAAATGTACAGAATTGCAATTATGCTCGTTTTGTATACTAAACGGTTTTTTAAAGTTTTAATCGAAAAACTTTGTGTTATGTCATTTGAATGTTTAGCTTGTGAGTTGTTTTTCTAGTTTACCCTCACGCTACATCAACAGCGTGGTCTAGCGATAAATACCTAGACTGCTAACTCAACTGTTTGGAGTTCAAGTCGGTAGAACGTTCATGATTTCACCCAGCACTAATGAGTACCTAACTCGAGTTAGGGAAAGTAAAGGCGGCTGACCACACTATCCACTCATATGCCGAGGTGACAGAAACACGTTAACTCTACTTCACTTTCCCTATGGACCGTCAGGTTCCAAAAGTGAACACAGACCGACACCTTGTCGGACGTTCTTGTAGGTAGTTGGACTGTGGTTTTCTGTTGTTTGCTGTTACGCATCAATGCTTCAATTCTGTTAGTGAATGGCAGCACCGCCTGAATCACTTCTAACTTGTGGGTAAAGGCAAAAGGCGGGAGTCGACAGTCTATTTATCCCCACTTTCACAGTTCAACTATTAGAGTTAGAGTCGATTCCTTTGTACCTTTCACCTTTTTCATGTGTTTGGTATTTGACAAAGGTTTTATGAATCAGTACAGATCTCCTGTTAGGTTTACTAAGTGATCCCCTTTTTTAAAACAACACTATACTTTTTTTCTCCTGATGACCGGAGGCAGCCATTTTCTAATGCCCTTATGACCTTTATGTCAGTATGGACAGTACCAAACTTTATCCAGATTCTCTCATATGCAGATTTTCGTATGTATTTTAAGGTCTTATGGTGAGGTAAGTTACTTTAATTTCACCATAGTAATAATGACCTTTTATCTACAAAATAGGCACCCCGACCATGACAAAAAAGTGTGAAAAAAATTATCTTCTATTAACGAAGCATGTGATACGTACAACTAATTACTGTACAACATGAAGCCGTGAAAAAAATATTACACAACTCATGACACAATTGTTAATAGAGAAATAAAAACATTTTACTCAAGGAAAGATAAACTATAAAATAATACTGCATTTTTTTTAAAGCAAAAGTTGTTTTTCTGTAATACCGTTTCATTAGATACCGTACTCTAATTTTGATTTGTGATGTTTATTTGTTTTTCAGCTAATGTTATGTAAGAAGTTAAAAAAAACACCATGTACACTATTTGTAGTTGCCTACAACAATAGGTTGTTTATAATGAAATGGGAGACGTCTTATTATTTAAATACATCCTAAAGTTTACCTGGCATGCACATGAAAATAGTGATGGATACGATGATTGTACTGTGGATCTAAGTTGGCCACAATGATTAACATTAACTGCACTTATAACCATTGTATACGCTACTAAACCATGTCAAACACATTATTCATTACAAATTAAAATTAAGTTGCAATTTTCACATTTCCAGTTTAAACATTTAATTAAATGTTAAAAATAAGATAGTAAAACACTGTGTAAAGAAAAATAAATTCATTTCCAACTTTTAAATGTATGTTTAATAGAATACTTTGAAAACTGTAACATATTTTTTAAAAATATTTAAGTATGAAAATTATAATACGAATAATATTTGTAAAGAAGAGTTCAAATTGAAATTAGTGTTGTAACGCATTTAAAAAAAATTAAAACAAAACTCAATGAAAGCGCATGATAAAACACATGCGATGCAGAATATGTAACAGTAGAGTCTATGACTTCCAATGTTGATACTCAGTGCATACACACATCAGACAGTTGAGCTGTACTCTGCTCGATGCCTCTCTGTAGAGATCACTGCTTCAGTGTAGAGTTTCATTGTCTCGTACACAAGTATATACTGTTGCTGTAGGTAAACAACGAACATATATATCATAGGCTTTTTTGTATGTGTTGCATAAATTAGAAATTAGAAAAAAAAATCGAAAACATTTGCAAAGTGTAGATTGGCACACATTGAATGTACACAAGTACTTGGACAACGTAAGATAAGGAAAATAATTGGTTAGACTTACAAGTGTAGGAATGGCGTGCGGTCTGATGGATTTGACTTTACCAACAACAACAGGAACGGTCAAATAGTTCTCTTGGTCCAGTCTGTCCATCAGAGTTATCACAACATAGGCCAGTCCACTCAGTTCAGCACCGTTTCTTGGAAAAAACAATTAAAAATACAAACATAAGGTTAAAGTTCAAAGGTCTGAGTTAAGTTTGTTTACTTCAGATGGTAATCTATAAATAATACTGCAGTTCTCCAGTTATATCTGCAAATATCTAATTATCTACAGTAGTTAAAAATAGTATGGTTAAGTAAGTTTTGCACTTTACTTAATTTCTATTTGACTAGTAGATGTAAACTTTTACGTTGGTGTTGTTGTAAAAAGAATGGCGATGGATGGAGGGGGGGGGGGGGAAACTACACCATGTATTACGTATCCTAGATACAACACTAAGTAGGCTTAAGTTCTAAGATCCATATGGAAAAGGGAGTATATTTCATAACCTTTTTTACACTGGTATATGAATGTGGGGCTAAACTATCCCCATCCGCCTTTACTTTCCCCAACGCCAGTCATGTACCCATCAAGCCTGGATAGAGTCAGAAATGTCCGGAAACACCAGTCATGTACCCATCAAGCCTGGATAGAGTCAGGAATGTCCGGAAACACCAGTCATGTACCCATCAAGCCTGGATAGAGTCAGGAATGTCCGGAAACACCAGTCATGTACCCATCAAGCCTGGATAGAGTCTGGAATGTCCGGAAACACCAGTCATGTACCCATCAAGCCTGGATAGAGTCAGGAATGTCCGGAAACACCAGTCATGTACCCATCAAGCCTGGATAGAGTCAGGAATGTCCGGAAACACCAGTCATGTACCCATCAAGCCTGGATAGAGTCAGGAATGTCCGGAAACACCAGTCATGTACCCATCAAGCCTGGATAGAGTTTCAGTTAAAGATCGAACGGTCTATATACTGCGTTGGTGACTTTAATGGAACTGTGTATGTCGGGGGGTTAAAGGTGACGATGCTATCTGATGTTATAGATTTAGCCTAGCTAGTGATGGATGGGCGTAAGTTAAAGCTTATATTCAATACCAAAGACAACACACAATTCAAACATGCATGCATGTACAATTACGCATATGGTTGCTATAAATAATAAAACGCATAACCAACACACTTGCCTGCACGTGTAAACTACTGACTTATCCGGAGTTCTCAACGATCGCGCGTATTGAACAAACGGCAGGAACTTTTTGGGTTCGATATGACGCTCTGTAAACGTGAGATGAGTCACTTCTTGCGTTTGTTTCCCCTAAGAGAAAGGAAAAAAATATGTTTTTTTTTAAAACTAAGTTCGAGCTACAGTGTCCTTTCTTACATTGTAAAAAATATTGGTAAAAAATGAAAAATTCAAAGCAGCATTTTAATACTAGTAAACTTAAAAATCCCGAAACACAAACATAAACACTATGTAGACATTTTAATATACACCAACATTTATATTTTATATAAACAAACTTCTATGCATATATATATATATATATATATATATATCTGTATATGAATATATATGTATATGCATGTTTTAATAGTTACATATAAATATATATATATATATATATATATATATATATATATATATAAATAATATATATATATATATATATATATATATATATATATATAAATGTATTCTTGTGTAACATCTTAATTGCATATTTCGCGTTTCTATGATGAAAAGCGTACACTATATAGTTCTCAAACAACGTGTAAGATGTCAGCAGTGTATTGTGCAACATTACCTTAACGGTAAGCTTCATTTCTGTCCATGTTGGTGCTGTTGTTACTGACTCGACATTGACAGCTATGTTCCCACATTGTAACGGCTGGCCTTGTTCTTCAGGTAAGTAGATAGCTAAGGACTGGAGAAAAAAAAACATGTTTTTTTTGTTAACTTTATGTCAACATTTACACGTTGAAGGTCGGGGTGCTTTAGATTTTGGTATAACAAACTGTATATTAGGCCGTCAAGAAACCACTCGCTGCAGAAGTGACAACATCAGATTTTTCCCGTCCAACTCCTCAAGTCAACATTCCGTCATGGGTTCTTCAGTTACTTGTAAGCCTTTCACCATATTTTATGTTTGGTTGGCTTGAGTCGGGTACCTATATACAGCTCGATACATTTTTCCCACGTTTTCTTTAACTTGCTTTCATTGTTTGTTTTTCCAATAAAATCTTGCGATCGAAATTTCTGGCACTTTCCAGTTAGCTAGCGCGCTGAAATTTTCAGGGAAGCTTTCTTTTGGATGACCATAGAATATTCAATTGTTATTATTACTAAATTCATCAATGGTAACATTTTATTGAGCATTTTAGACCGCTATATACTCTATATATATAATTCTCCTCTGCGAGCCATTAGAAAAAAAAACGAGCGACGCGTAGCTCACCTCTCTCTTGCCGCGCGCAGTGACGCGAAACGATCCCACGTCGCGACAGGCTTAGGGGCAGATAATTTAGTTTGAACCGACTTTAAACTTACAGGAGGTAACTATTACCACTGGTGGCCAGTTTGGGGGAGACGATATGGTCGAGTGGTTGGGCACACGATTGCTATCCCACTCGACACGGGTTCAAATCTATGTTTTCTAGTCAGTAAGCAGCCCTCGTCCTAACCGCTATCAACTAACCTCTGACAATCATTCACTTGCGATTGAGACCGAAGAAGAAAGGGTCTCTCGTTTTTTACGAGTTGTCTTTTTACGAGTTGTCTTCGTTTACCCACAAAAAGTGAAAAGATAAAATCGATAGCAAGATTTCAATGCAAACAAACAAAGACTAAAAAGTAGAAAATAATAATCATTAAAAAAGTTTAGAAAAACCCACGTTTTCTGATTGAACTAAAAAGTAGAAAATAAATACTATACATCACAATAATGCAAGCGATCACTCTACTATAAGCGATGAAAAACGTGGGGCGCCGTGATTTTCTTACAGTTTCTAATACTGTTGACTCTCTACAAGCTCCCTAATAAAAGTCAATAGTATTATCTAATCAATAGTAATATAAATTTTACTTCGGCGCCCCACGTTTTTCATCGCTTATAGTAGAGTGATCATTTTCTACTTATTAGTTCAATCAGAAAACGTGGGTTTTTTAAAACTTTTTTAATGATTATTATTTTTAAACATCTGAACCAAGCTCTTATCCCTGGTCACAAGCCGAATTCGACACAGAACGCTTCTATTATTAGCTTCAATTATTAGCTTCTATTTTTAGCTTCTATTAATAGCTTCTATTTTTAGCTTCTATTATTAGCTTCTATTATTAGCTTCTATTATTAGTTTCTAATATTAGCTTCTATTATTTGCTTCTATTATTAACTTCTATTAATAGCTTCTATTATTAACTTTTATTACTAGCTTCTATTATTGGCTTCTATTATTTGCTTCTATTATTAGCTTCTATTATTAGCTTCTATTATTAATGTTTAACCTGGCATAAAACACTACACTACAGCACTCAATTAGGATAGCGGTTAAATGGTAGAGCTGTTAACTGATAACTCGAGCCTCGAGTTCGGATCCCTGGTTTGAGTCCACTCAGCTTTTAATGGGTACCTGTCTCACGTTAAGGAATCTAAAGGCGGTTTGGCATAGTAATAACCACATTATCGCTTCATACTGCAACTGGTCTACTCTAATTCTCTTGTTCCATGGACCGTAGGATTTTAAAAAATTTACGTTTACTGCAACACACACACACATACACACACACACACACACACACACATACACACACACATACACCTACCTTGTCATTTTCATAGGATTTAAAAGCAACAATCAAGGAGACGTTATACTGTGTGACCAGTCTCCAGAAATCATTGACCGTAGTGGGCATGGGCAGCTGGGTCAGAAACTGTTTGGTCTGGGTGTACAGGCTCTGGTTTTAGATGGGATACAAATCAATAATAGCCGAATAATCAAGTATAAATCATTGTTAGCCCAAAAATCAAGAACAAATCATTAATAGCCCAATAAACAAGTACAAGTCAATCTTGTCACAACCATGAACACTTTTCCGGTTGCATAATTTATAATGTGTTTCTACAATCGTATATCGTATATTGCTAAATTTTTATTTTCTTTCTTTAAATAAAAATTAGTTTGTACATTTATAACATCCACTATATTATTGTCAACAAAAGTCCGCATCATTAAGTACTCGATATATCGCTAAACATACTTATCATATAGCCTCAAAAATATTGCGAACAGAGAGAGAGAGAGAGATAAGTGCGCAATGGGCTTTTATATATTAGGATTGTATACAATTAAAAACATTTAAAAACTAAGCGAAAAAACAGAGTCTTACAGGTAATGTGACAGCATTGATATAGCCCTCTTCTCCGGGGGAATCCACTTGTAAAAGAGGTTGATACTTTTTGTCTAAACAATACATAGATTAGTTAATTGATCAGAAATAATTTATAGTATAAGCCGCTTGTGTCATTTCGCTACTTCCGTTCGTCAGTCAACAGTATAGCTACTTTTTCTTCGTTTCTCAAGCTTCATTTCAACTCACGACAGTAAGAACATTATTAATGGAATACACGGCCGTTTGTTTGATTAAGCAATTTAATAAAGCGTTTGCGGTTATATTTTATTTTGTGTTTGCATTTTTATTTGCGTTTGGTTTGTATTTGCGTGTTGCGTTTGCATTAGCGTTTGTGTTTAAGTGATGCGTTTGCCATAGTGTTTGCGTTTTGTTTTGTTTTGTGTTTATGCTTGTGTTTATATTTGCGTTTCCGTTTGTGTTTGCGTTTGCGTTTGTGTATGTGTGTGCATGTGTATGTGCATGTGCATGTGCATGTACATGTGCATGTGCATGTGCTTGTGCGTGTGCTTGTGCTTGTGCATTTGCATTTGCATTTGCATTTGCATTTGCATTTGCATTTGCATTTGCATTTGCATTTGCGTGTGTCTTTGTGTTTGTGTTTGTGTTTGTGTTACGGTTGTGTTTGCGTTTGCGCTTGAGTTTGCGCTTGTGTTTGCGTTTGCGTTTACGTCGATTCTATATTTACACTGACCAAGTAGTATGTCGATTCTATATTTTCATTTATTAGGTAGAATGTCGATTCTATATTTACACTAACTAGGTAGAATGTCGATTCTTTATTTACATTTACCATGTAGAATATCGATTCTATATTTACTCTTACCAAGTAGAATGGTGTTTCTATATTTACACTTACTCTGTAGAATGTTTAATCTGTCGTTACGCTGAGTGATAGAATGTTGAGCCTATTTTTACACTTAACTAGTAGAATGTTGAATCTGTCTTTACACTTAGTAGTAAAATATAAAATCTATTTTCACACTTACTATCGTTAATGTCGTTGCACACTTACCTGGTGCAATGTCGAATGTTGTGTTACACCTCTTACATACTTAGATTATAGATTGGTGAATCCATCTTACTCATGTTCCACACTTACCTGATAGAATTTCTGAATCTATCTTTACTGTTGGTATACACTTACCTGGTATAATGAAGAATCTATTTTTACCTTTTGGATCTTGGGTAACGTCCCCTACACCACCAGTAAGTTGTGTCTCAAAACTAAACAGATTCTGAAATAATGGGTATTGAACACCAATTTAATAGTGATTTACTTTAATAAAAATCATGTTGTAAAAGCACATGTTTAACAGTAGGTAATGTGTAACTAATTCTTATTAAGGTTAGGTTGGCTGACCCAAGCACCTACCCCGAGGCTAATGAGGCTGCAACCAATGTAGATGAGGAAATGGAGTCTATTAAGTGATATGACTACAAACTATGCTTTTTTTTACTTATGTTACGGCAACCTAATCTGGTACAAAAGATAATGCATAGTATTCCTTTGAGATATTCCGGCACACTATACTGGTTGTATCTGATAGTCGAAAACATAATTTATTAAACATATTATATAGTTGTAAGAAACCATACCCCCGCATAATAAGAGCTGCCGAGTGTCGAAAAAAAATATTATTCATTGAACATTGATGTCTTCATCAAAATATTTTTATTTACAATCACAATACGAAGAAACAAAGCCACTGAATACAAACTTACATTGAATTCATTTTCAAAATTATTTTTCCCGTTGACAACGTTCCCCATGAGATGTACTTTGAGGAAGATGGCGCTGATGTGTGTGTAGCTGCCTATACAGGCGATGCCAGCCTGCGCGGCGTGGTGCAGGAACATGTACTGCTCCTGGAAAACAAATGCAAGTAACTAGTCTCTCTCTCTCTCTCTCCCTCTCTCTTTCTCTCTGAGGCCTGGTCAAGGAGCATATTCTGCTCTTGGAAGACACATGTTTCGTTATTTAACTAGTCTCTCTCTTCCTCCCTCTATCCCTCCCTCTCTCATTCTCTTCCTCCCTCTCCTTCTCTCTCTCTTTCTCTCGTCCACTCTCTCCTGGTTTGCCCAACTTAGGTTTGGTGTCATTTAGAGCGTACTCAAGTGGTCTGCACCCTTGGAAGGTTATTCTTAAAAAAATTAAATTTTTCCTGCTTTTCCATCTTGTTTCAATATTTCTCGTCTTTGTCTTTGATTCAATAGTTGTGGCTACTACTAATCCTACTCTTGAACTGTTAAAAGATAAAGGCGATGTACAATGTTACCTCTACATACGAGTTTAATGTCAACATTTTTTTTTGTTCACTCGATAACTCTATTCTAAAACATCTCGCGTGAGAGTTATTTTGAAAACAAAATATCAATTTCTTTTTTTTTTCTTATCAATTACAATATTAGTGTACTTTAATATTGTTTTAGAATTAGTTAGAATCTAATATCAAGTTAAAAATACGCCATAAAACAATCTAAATATTTTGTTTCATTTAGCAAATAAATTTGCTACGTTTTTGTTTTAAACATTTTATGAAGGAAATAATTTTAATCTTTCGTTGAAGGAAAAAATCTTTGCAATTTGTTAGAATATTTCATTTAATGTTTCGTTTATTTTTATTTTTATTTTTATTTTTATTTTTTTTTTATTTTTTTTAATACTAAAGAGCTAGTCAGAAAACATTGCAAGTGTAAAAATGTCATTTCTTGTAACATGTTAATAAAGAATGTTTTTTTTTAATTATGTTTAGAAACATTTATGTTGTATAGTTAGTTAAGAATAGTTTAAAATTAGAGTTGTAGACATCAAACTCACAAATGTTTGAACCGTGTTGGGCATGTCTTGTCGGAGTCTAGACACCGTGTCGACAAAGTCCACGGCTTGGTTCAGCTTGGCTTGACGGATCAAATCGTGTAGAGCTATAAACACGGAGCTTCTCGTTGTATCCGTCCTGTTAGGTACACACGGGAAATAATGTGTCAAATGTGGTGCCTATATACAATGGCAGAAGTAGTTGATAAAGTACAGACTCGCTTCTGTTATCTCTGTATTAAATGCTATATATCTAAAATAGTTTATAGAATGTATGTGTACTATAAATACTTACTCGAGAAAATTTATATCAAATATAACCACCATATTAACTACTTTACTAACAAAAAAATTATTTAAATGGTATATATATATATATATATATATATATATATATATATATATATATATATATATATATATATATATATATATATATATAGTAACAGTTAATACATGTTGTAAAATATTATGTCGTTTTTATGTCTTTCCAAGCTTACCCAGAATGCACCAGTGTGACAGTTTCCAGAGTGTTGAAGAAGACCTTATGTTCAAAGTCAACCAAACTCCACATACACGGGTCAGACCCGTCTTCTGGCCAGGCCGTGTACTGGAAGTGGGTCAACTGACGTGGCGGGTTGTCGTCCTTGTCATTGGGAAGACAGAAAGAAACAAGCATTATATTTATAGATGGCAGAAAATTCGATAAAACCTAACACATCCTATGCTAATGTGAGTTTTTGTAATATCGTTTCCTTCATTCGATATGGTGTGTAAATATAATTGTTTTGTTTTTGTATGACTTTGTTCTAGTACTTTTAATTATGTTACTGTTTACTGTAAATATAAATTAGAAGCGAGAATTCGGAAAACGTTCATCTCGTGTATGCTTGTTGTCACTAAGTAAATGTATATGAGACAACGTGGTCGGGCGTCTCGAGTTCGGATCCCGGGTGCCAATCTGTGTCACGCCCCATAGCCCACTAAGCTTTGATAGGTTCCTGACTCACATCAGGGAGAACAAATTCAGCTGGTCATTTCACTGATAACACTATCTTCATATACCGTGGTCATGGAAATGGGTAAGCTCTACTTTATCCGAACTAGTGATTGTCAGATACATAACAGTATTCAATTTTACTTATAAATAATACATTTAATACAATTTTAAAGTTCATACAAAAATAAATATAGTAATTTTTTTTCTTCAAAGGCTTCACAAAAAATCTAGCTATATCTTACTTTGTCAATGCGCACAGACGTAATATTTGTTATTTCTTGTATTTTAGTGCTCTCTCACTCGACCTTGAAATTATAGTTTAAATTTTATACAGTTTTAAAAAATAAACTTTTGAATTCAAATAAAATTTACTTTTGTAATTTCCAAAGTCCGAATAGTATAATCTAGAAAAACTTCTGTTTTCACCGTCTTCACTCTATAGCAATTAATGTTTTGATCTTTCATTGACCAGTAGCTGTCTTCATTCTGAAAAACAAATGACGTTTTGATAAAGTATTTTCAGCTTAGAAATAACCAAGATATCGAACAAAAAAATATATACAATACCGCTGTTATTAACACACTTTCTATACCAATCTTACACGTTTCAAAACACATTTTACGGTGGGAAAATCCGAAATATTATCAACAAGCCGTTCCTGCTCTAGCCTCTGTGAGAAACTTATCTGTAAAGGACCATGACATTTTTTTTTTGTAATCAGCATATATCCGGCATTGCCCACACTAACCACAACCAACCAAAACCAAAACACACAAAAAAAAGAACCGCGTACATAACACAAACAACCACAACCACAACCCAATCACAAAGAGAACTAAAGGACAAAATGCAAATACATTTCAGACACAATTTTAGAAATTTTATAAACGTTGATACACTTGTTTTAAATTTTATGTAATGTTAATAATTGAAAATTATTATTCTAAGTATATAAAATGAAAACTGTTTTTAAAGACTTTCAGTAGTAATTTTTTATCTCATAAATTTAGACCATAAGCACTATAATAATCTAACACTTAAATCCATCGAAGTATCCACGACAAACATTTTACAAACAGTCAGAAGTGAACTTTATATATTCGATTTAATGTGATAATGGAGCAGTACTCTGATGTTTGTGTGTTTTGGCAACCTACATCGTTTTTGCCTGTGTTGACCATGGCGACTTTTGCAACTTGTTTGTCCCACAGCAGATTGAGAAAGAGAACCTCAGTCGCAGCAACCGGAGCTACGAGAAGATGTGAAGAAAATATGATTAGAAAGGATTATAAAAACACAGAGGAAATTTTGTAACTACAAAAGGAACTTCATAAACATGTTCAATGATTGGCACTAAATAAGCTATTCAAAACATAGTGAACAAATTATTACTGAAGACGAACCTATACAAAGTGTAACAATACTCTTTACAAACTTCTATTAAAAACTTATGAATAAATGTTATTTACTTATGCAAATATTCGTTGCTACTTCATCAAGTTTTAGCAAATTTCAATACTGATTTTAGTAATATTTAAAGTACTTTTTAACTATGTAATGTCTAATTAGATTGGAAATTAGATACTCTTACGTTGTAATTGTAATTAATTTTTAAAAATAATTTTGTAAATTGAAAACAATTTAAATAGTTTTTATTACACTAAAACCATCATAAAAAAAGTTTAATTAATTTCAGCACCTTAGGTTCAACTTCACTCAATGATAAAAATGTGTATACTAATTACAAAGTCAGTAATCCTAGCTAGACTTGACAGTGACACATTTTACAAGAGAATAAGTAAAAACGTTAACAAGTTACCTTGTGATAATATTATTTCTTCTTTAGCCAACTAAAAGAAATAGAATAACTCAACATGGTTAGTCAAAGTAATTTATTAATATGTGCAAAGTAACAATGTGAGTATTATTTAATGGATACACATATTAAAATATGAATGTGCAAAATATGTATTAGCCGAAATGAATAAGATAAAAACAGCATTTGTCATGTATAGGAAGAGAGAGTTAAGTTATTGATTTTACATTGTGTTGCCGGTATGAGTTAGCGTCTTGTTGTAACAATAATTGAAAACCAAGTTATAAACATCTTGAGATATTTGTAGAACATACACAATAAAATTTACTTCACAAAATTTACCGGGTTCCTTTTTGTAAAAAGTAATTCCATATAAAATATGGATAATAAACGTATTGATTTTAAAAGTATATGCCAGCAAGTAAATGTACTAACAAAAATCACTTTCATTTTGTGTAGTCAAAACATTTTTTGCTGAAAGATTATTTTATTAAGGACTATTTCTTTATCTAAACAAACACATTTCCGTTTAATTTCTTTTTAAGTACTTTAAAAGCCTTATTTTACAAAAGTGTCTACTTCATTTTTTTTTACTGTTTAATAATTTGAAATTAAAATTGCAAAGATAAATGTAAAACTTAAAGTTGTTTAGACGAATATCTTTTTTTATTTTTATATATCGTGTATGTATTAGAGGTTTTAGTTTAAGATCAGATAATTAGCGAGCGCTCTTAACTCTAGACGACACACCTGTCTCATTAATGTCGGTCACTAAGTCTCAGGTGTGTAAACTCTCTCGATCACAACACACCATTCTATTACCCCCCCCCCCCCCCAAGTGGTCAAGGTATGGTTGCTTCACCATCACGTTATAGCTAATTTCGCTACCGACTCTAGGAATATTTAAATTACTTAACGATGTGATATCTAATTAGATTTAAAATTATATACTCTTGCATTGTCATTGGAAATAAAAATTTCTGGAAAGATTGAGTTACTCGATTCAACAAGAACCCTACCAGACACGGACGATTTAATTAAATTAAAAACAAATCAATACATATTAAATAATCGAGCCTTACCGCCAGGAATGAGGGGCTGAGCAAATTGACAGGACTTTTCTCAGGCCACGGTGTGACGTTGATGCATGCATGGTCATCTGGGGATGCAGACCAATGGTCAGTTAGGGTGTAAAAGGTGTTTAAATAGATATGAAGAAATGTGTGTGTAATGGGGATGTTAGTTCTTGATTGGTGATGAATTGAATTTTTTAAACGTATTTTAAAATAATAATTTGAAATTAAGAAAATTGAAAATTAAATCAATAGTATAGTGAATATTGGTCTGATGGCAAACATTCCGTCACATTATTTTAGAGCTATTAGTCATTACTGTCGCACCCTTCTATACTATGTCACGCACTGCAATACTTATATATTCCCTGATTTACTCGTTACGCGTATACAACACTTTGTTCTATTTATTTATTATTTTAAGAAAAAATTCATTCAGACTCTAATTCAGTAAATCAAGGGTTAACATCCCACTTAGACGTAAGTTACAGCTTTCAACATTCACGTGATAAATTCAGGTCTCACCCAATAACAAACATAAGCTTATTTCCTCACACACACATTTCAAACATAAAACGATGACGATTTAATAAAAAAAAAACAACGACTTACAGGTACCATCTGTGTCCTTTTTCTCTGATGTTTTTTTACCAACATACACAGTCGGTATAGACTGTGGAAGATAAATACTATCATGTAAAAAATAACACAGAAAAAGTATTTTTCATTAAGCATTTTTAAAATATACTTGAAGTAAACACACAATTAAATTTCAAAGAAACGAAAAAGAAGAAATAATTCTTTTTTTTTAGTGACTACCTTGAACTGGTTAAGAAAGAATTCCTTGTTGTGTCCCAGTATGTAGACCTTGAGATTCGCGATGGGCACTGACGTATCTGTTTTGGTGGTTTCATTCGGAAATAAATAAAACATACACTGCTATAACACGACATTAATACACATATAGGTGACGGACATTCATCCAAAGGCAGGTGTCTTAAAAAGACGACAAATCCCCAATGTTTTTTTTCTCCAAAAAGAACACACACACACACACATACATACATATATATATATATATATATATATATATATATATATATATATATATATATATATATATATATATATTCAACATGTATATATCATAAACATCCTCATATACAACACAATAAGAATGAAATCGGTAAAATCGAGAGACAGAATAAAATGAAACAGAATAGGATTTACCTTCGACAGCCTCCGTCTTAACTGTTTTCCTTTTTCTAGACAGATAGAGGATACGTGGTTTAGAATATATTTTATAAGGAAATCTATACATTTTTTTTCTTCTTCTACGCTCTTAATTCTAAGTCTATAAAGCGATCCCCACCAACACAATTCAATATTTCCTATCAACTTTTCATGTGCCATATAGGCCGTTGACTCTGGTATTTTCTATACTCTTTCTTTTATGGTTTTCTTCTTGGATTGGATTCAATAGCCTTGTCCAACCAAGAACAAACTATAAGGCAGCAATTGTTTGATTTTAGAGGTGCCTCTCCCAGATGAGTAGCAGTCCCCAGCTATTAAGCCTCGTCTGTCCGGGTTTCAAACTCGAGACTTCTCGAATATTTTCTCTTATTTAGTCTGTTCACAATAGCAAATGTATTGAAATAGAACAAGTTATTAAATCAGTACCCTGCACAGCGCTACGAACCTGCGTATGAATATGCAGACCAGGATTGCAATAAGTAATGCGAGCAGCACAATCAGTAAATACAGTATATATGTATCAACCTTGTCTTCTGTAAATTATTTACATTCTGTCATGTATTAAACTTGATGTATATACATTCTCGAACCATACAGGAATGTATATACAAATACATATGGAAACACAATAAAAATAAATGAATAAAAAATTAAGTAACAAATACACGAGTGAACATAACATACTCATATAAAAATACCATCGGGTCCAATATAGTGATGTTAGTTATGTAAGCAGAGTTTCTTTCAGGCATCAATTACTGGGGAGACTGAAGAGAGTCTACTGCCCACCCCCCACCCCACCCCCAAATCGAAATGAAATTGATATAGAAAATGTATGCTTTAACCCCAGAAAATTTAGTCCGCCCCACCCCCTTCCAAAAATGTCAAGTGCGCCGCCCACGGTGAAAAAAGTTCGATCGAAAGAAACACTACGTACAAGGTATTGTCTCACCTCAGGTAAAATGAAGACCCGTTAAAACTACCACTAATTTCATTTATTGGAATATGTATAAATTAAGATTTAAATTTGTCATAAACTATGTTTAGAATGGGAACAGGGCATTTCCCCCCTTTCAATTACCCCCCGGATATTCCCCCCCCCCCAACATTACCCCCCAGAGTAATTACCCCCCTGTCAATTACCCCCCTGTCAATTACCCCCCGCCCAGTAGGACATTACCCCCCCCCCCCCCCGGACAGGGTTAGAGTTAGGGTTAGGGCTAGGTTTATGGTTAGGTTTACGGCTAGGGCTAGGGTTATGGTTAGGTTTTAGGGCTAGGGTTAGGGTTAGGGTTAGGTTTTAGGGCTAGGGCTAGGGTTAGGTTTTAGGGCTAGGGTTAGGGTTAGGGTTAGGGCTAGGGCTAGGGCTAGGGTTAGGGTTAGGGTTAGGGTTAGGGTTAGGGTTAGGGTTAGGGTTAGGGTTAGGGTTAGGGTTAGGGTTAGGGTTAGGGTTAGGGTTAGGGTTAGGGTTAGAGCTAGTTTTAGGGTTAAGGTTGTGTCTAACTTTGGTTTTGTGTGAAGTTTTAGGCTAAGGTGGATGCTTAGGATTTGGTCTTTTTCTTAAGGTTTGGATTAAAGCAGTATATAGGTATAAAATTCTAGTTAGAGTTAGGATTTTAACTTGAGAGGGGGGGGGGTAATTCCCCCGGGGGGTAATTGACAGGGGGGTAATTGACAGGGGGGTAATTGCTCCGGGGGGTAAATACGGGGGGGGGAATGTCCGGGGGGGAAATATCCAGGGGGGTAATGTCCTGTAGCCGTTTAGAATACCGATCGAGTCCTTGTCCTGACTGTTCAATTTTTCTCTTGGCAAGCCCGTCTCGGCCACATCTTTAGGAACATTTGGGTCAGCTGGAAATTTGCTTTTTAAAACACAATCTCCGGTGATGACGTCACACAGGCGTTTGTTCTCAATGGCTGCGTACACACAATCAGGGTCACATTGTTGTTTGCAGTTGGGCCCGAACGTTGTGTCGCTACATGCTGTGGAAGTTAAAGGGTTAAATTGGTTCTAAAAGGGTTTAAGTGGTTCTAGTATTTCAAGGGTTAAAGTTGTTCTAATCAAAATCTTTAAAATATTTATTTTACCGAGGCGGTAGATTGTTATTTTTGTGTTTTATACAAGAAATTGTATTTTTTGTGGACCTATGTTATACATTTGTTTTAAGGAAATTACAACACACGTGTTTCATTAGCCTGCAAGAAAACTATAACAACCGAACATAAGCTACTCAAGGTTATATATATATAATAATAAAATACCAACTACGTATATAGTATATTGGCAGCAGTTTATAACCATGTCCAGTAAATTCGTTGCAGGATAAATTAAATATTACATATCAAATGTTACATCAACACATTTTATGTATAATATGAAGATTTTCCAAAAATGTAATAAATCAAGTTAAACTTGATATAGAAATTGTTTTATTTATGCAGAGTAATTAAATTATATATTTGGAACAAAAATATACGTGTTCGTGCCTTCGATATCGAATAACGTCTCCAAATTTCCTTAAGGTAAGGCCTTTGATGCCAGTTTATTGGGCACCCAAAAACATTCCATTCTATTTAAAGGCTCAACCGTCCTCGGGCAATCTCTTAGTCTACCCAATTGTGATGGGTACCTGACTCGCCTTGGGAAATTACACATAGTGCTGACCACTTAACCACTTCAAAGGACCTGTGCAAAGAAACGTCTAATGCTTGGAAAAAGCGGTAGAGCGCTCGGCTGCTACTCCGAAGGTTTTGAGTTCGAATCCGGGTTCAAGTCTGTACATCGTTACTAAGTCCGACCAGCTCTGATGGGTACCTAACTCATGTTAGGGAAAGACAAAAGAGGCTGGGCAAAGTGCTGAACACACCTTTCCTTCATATGCTGAGGTCAAGAAACATATGACCTCCACTTCATCTGCCTAAAGGATCGCTAGGTCTAAAGATGATTCTTATATATATATATATATATATATATATATATATATATATATATATATATATATATATATATATATATATATGTATATATATATACTTGTTCGTTTTTCACCTTGTTTAAAGTAATGAAACACGTTTACCTCAGACCAATGAACATTATTGCCTGGCTTAATTTTCAGGATATTCCCAACAAACTGCACATAACGTCTGCATTTCCACCCACCTTCATCGCAGAAGTCGCCCAGACGCCCAACAGGACAGCTTAGACAGACGCCATCTGTTATGTTACACAGCTGGTCGACGCAGTTTTCGCTGCAAGTTTCCGTACAGTTTTTTCCGTAGTAGTGTTTATCACAATCTAAATATATAAATACTTTCTTGTCGGATATAAAACGTAAAAAATTACGTTGAATAACTATTTCGTAATCAGATAATTGTGTCTACATTTCCAATATTTTTGAAACATGTGTCTTGCTACTTGCATGACTAATCTGTGACTAATATTGTTTAAAATAGGTATAAACAGTTTATTGGACTATTTCAATGACACAGAGCAATTGAAATTTTCATGGAAGTGTAACAGATTTCCAATGTCAGTAGGAGCATTAATTTTTACAAAAAATAATTTAACTTGAGTTAAAAAACATTTTCTTTTAAATCGGTAACCATTATTAGGAATAATGTTACATCTTAATAATCTATGAATAACAGTCATCAAACAAAAGCCAACTATAATAAAAAGGGATCCAGCCTAGATTGAACTAAAAAAATTCCCCCGTTCATCATTTTGTTTAATTTGATCACCTTGGGTGTTCCATTGTTATGACAATCATCGTTTTACTCTCCATGGCCACATAAGTTCAGTTCAATGTGATGTTGAGTGCGGTTTTATTAAATATTTAAATCGATACAATAATTCATTGTTATTTTCAATGGCTTATGCTCAATACAAAAATATGAAAATGAGTGTAATCGATGATTCACAAACGAATTTAATTTTTAAACTTGTAGCTTTAATTACATCGCTTGCCGCTTGCCACATTTTAAAAAAATTAAATCTAGTATAATTGCATAGACTTTTCCTACGTATTAAATGTTGTATGGCATACGTAGTCTGTGAACATAAACACAATTAAATTATAACTTTAAAAAAAAGTTATCATTTCAAATATATAGTTAACATCTATCACTGGATCAAACACACAAAGCATCTTAGACAAAACCTATACATTCAAACGGCTAAATTAGCGCAAAAAGGTAGACGCGAGAGTTTCAGATCGATCAAAACGATTAACTTTTAAAATTAGTTGAAAAAGAAAAGATATAAAATTTAAAAACTCTATAGTAAAATTACTATAAAGACTCCGGGCGTATGTTAAAAAAAAACAGTTTATGTGACTCTCTATAGTAATACAGTATTTGGCTTTTTATCTTTCCTGTAAATAATACATTTTCGGAGATAGATTACGACATCGAAATGCCGCAAATGTTTGCCGACCAAACCAATTTCTGTAATTTTATGTATTATGATATTATTTATATACCGGATGTAGCTTAAGGCAACCTATACGCTATAATGTAATTGTATGTAACTTGAGAGTGCCTACATATCAAATACTTTACTTGTACATAATACACAAAAATTATATATATATATATATATATATATATATATATATATATATATATATATATATATATACTTGTTCGTTTTTCACCTTGTTTAAAGTAATGAAACACGTTTACCTCAGACCAATGAACATTATTGCCTGGCTTAATTTTCAGGATATTCCCAACAAACTGCACATAACGTCTGCATTTCCACCCACCTTCATCGCAGAAGTCGCCCAGACGCCCAACAGGACAGCTTAGACAGACGCCATCTGTTATGTTACACAGCTGGTCGACGCAGTTTTCGCTGCAAGTTTCCGTACAGTTTTTTCCGTAGTAGTGTTTATCACAATCTAAATATATAAATACTTTCTTGTCGGATATAAAACGTAAAAAAATTTGCGTTGAATAACTATTTCGTAATCAGATAATTGTGTCTACATTTCCAATATTTTTGAAACATGTGTCTTGCTACTTGCATGACTAATCTGTGACTAATATTGTTTAAAATAGGTATAAACAGTTTATTGGACTATTTCAATGACACAGAGCAATTGAAATTTTCAAGGAAGTGTAACAGATTTCCAATGTCAGTAGCAGCATTAATTTTTACATCATAACATTGTATATATATATATATATATATATATAATTTTGTTATATATATATATATATATATATATATATATATATATATATATATATATATATATATATATATTTATATCATTGTGTATTAATACATAGACCTATATCTAAATATCGAGATCTAGTTAGTATTAAGCATTAAGTTTATATACATTAGAATAGATATTCTAGATTTTGCATTTCTAAATTAATAAATAACAATTAAAACCGTTGCATGGCGTAGGTAAAGTGTGTAGAGTGTACTATAGAGTAAAACAGGCCTAACAAAAAAATAATTTAACTTGAGTTAAAAAACATTTTCTTTTAAATCGGTAACCATTATTAGGAATAATGTTACATCTTAATAATCCATGAATAACAGTCATCAAACAAAAGCCAACTATAATAAAAAGGGATACAGCCTAGATTGAACTAAAAAAATTCCCCCGTTCATCATTTTGTTTAATTTGATCACCTTGGGTGTTCCATTGTTATGACATTCATCGTTTTACTCTCCATGGCCACATAAGTTCAGATCAATGTGATGTTGAGTGCGGTTTTATTAAATATTTAAATCGATACAATAATTCATTGTTATTTTCAGTGGCTTATGCTCAATACAAAAATATGAAAATGAGAGTAATCGATGATTCACTAACGACTTTAATTTTTAAACTTGTAGCTTTAATTCTATCGCTTGCCGCTTGCCACATTTAAAAAAAATTAAATCTAGTATAATTGCATAGACTTTTCCTACGTATTAAATGTTGTATGGCATACGTAGTCTGTGAACATAAACACAATTAAATTAAAAATTTTAAAAAGTTATCATTTCAAATATATAGTTAACATCTATCACTGGATCAAACACACAAAGCATCTTAGACAAAACCTATACATTCAAACGGCTAAATCAGCGCAAAAAGATAGACGCGAGAGTTTCAGATCGATCAAAACGATTAACTTTTAAAATTAGTTGAAAAAGAAAAGATATAAAATTTAAAAACTCTATAGTAAAATTACTATAAAGACTCCGCGCGTGTGTTTAAAAAAAGACAGTTTCTGTGACTCTCTATAGTAATACAGTATTTGGCTTTTTATCTTTTTCTGTAAATAATACATTTTCGGAGATATATTACGACATCGAAATACCGTAAATGTTTGTCGACCAAACCAATTTCTGTAATTTTATGTATTATGATATTATTAATATACCGGATGTAGCTTAAGGCAACCTATACGCTATAATGTAATTGTATGTAACTTGAGAGTGCCTACATATCAAATACTTTACTTGTAGAAAATACACAAAAATTATATATATATATATATATATATATATATATATATATATATATATATATATATATATATATATATATATATATATATATATATATATATATATATATATATATATATATATATATATATCCTAATATATAATAGCCCACGTGCGCACTTCTCTCTCTCTCTCTCTCTCTCTCTCTCTCTCTGTCTGTCAGCAAAATATTTTCGCCGGACATCACATCAGAATCTACAGCGATATATCGTGAATTTGAACGGAATTTTATTGAAAATAATATGGTAGATGTTTTAAATGTATAACGAAAATTGTATTTAAAGAAGAAAAATAAAAAATAAAGGCGTATTCGAATGTAGAAAAACAGTGTTAATTATGCAACAGGAAAAGCGTATATGGTTGTGAAAAAAAACGCATTTAACAATGACGTCGCTTATTGTTTACACTAAAAGAGCACGAAACTAATGACGTCATCTTCCGAGTTTAGAATAAAATAAAGAAATGAAATATTTCATTCAAATATGATTGAGAGCTAGATTCTACGTACGATATGAAATGTATACAATACGATTTTCTCGGCCTAAACTTTTATAAGTTTTTACTTTATCTATTTGGATTCTAGATATAGATCTAGATCTCGATTCTAGATCTAGACTAGATCTACGGAAAAACTAGACGTAGACGCTAAAATGTGGATTTAGACTAGAATCCAGATCTATCTCGGTCTACTAAAAACAACATTGAACAACCGCGTTTTTAAAGAAATCTTTTAAGTCTCTTAATTTTAAGTCTCTTAATCAACGAGTGCATTTAATATGCTGTGGTTACCGATGAAGAAATGAACTATTTCATTTAAATCTATAGATCTGATCTTAAAAAACTAATAAAAATAAATCGCTTTAAAAACAAGAAGAATACCGTGGAATAGCCGAGTTTTTAACGGAATCATTTAAGTCACTTAATCAGTGTGTGCCTGTCTAGATCTATGGAAAAACTAAACTTACACAGATATAGACCTTACCTAGATCTAGAATGTATTCAAATAATACATTTCTATACTAAAGTATTTAAGGCCTTAATTACTTTATTGAAATCTTTGTTTATCTATGCAATTTGCTAATCTCTACAATATATAAAGCAAAGTTGTCGGGTGCCCGATAGGGCACTTCCAGGCGCCGTAGGCGCTTCAAATTTGGCAGGATCTTGCCTTGGGGCGACAGAACGGATACCGTAGGCCGAAAAGTCTACGATGAGGGGGTCAAAACTGACCTCGACTGACCGGCGCCTTATATGAGCTATACATCGAAAAAAAAAATGTCCACGTAGGAACCTCTTCATAACTCCTGAGGTCGTAGACCGACCCTCTGGCGAATTAATTAAGCATTCAAATTCTCAATGTTTTCGAAAGCCTAAGCGAAGCCTAGTATATATAAATATAAATATATATATATATATATATATATATATATATATATATATATATATATATGTATATATATATATATATATATATATATATATATATATATATATATATATATATATATATATATATATATATATATATGTGTGTGTGTGTGTGTGCGTGTGTGTGCGTGTGTGTGTGTGTGTGTGTATGTGTATGTGTATGTGTATGTGTGTGTGTGTGTGTGTGTGTGTGTGTGTGTGTGTGTGTGTGTGTGTGTGTGTGTGTGTGTGTGTGTGTGTGTGTGTGTGTGTGTGTGTGTGTGTGTGTGTATTCGCGACGGCTATTATCAGAGTAACATTTTTTAAAAATGCTCTTAACACTTTTGTGTTTCAGATTTTCTTCAAACGTTACAAATAAGTTCAATAAAAACGAATTTACCCTGTTCACAGTAGTCTCCCCGCCATCCAGGGGGACAACTCAAACACCGGCCTGTGATGCTGTCACAGGTCTGATTCTCACATTTGACGCTACAGTTTAAGCCACAACCCTGGCCGTAGGTTCCATGTTCGCAGTCTATAAATAGGTTTCAACAATCTCGAGACAGTCCAAAAGTATGTTTAAACACATTTTGAGAAATTCAAAAAAAAATTTTATCAAATTCCGAAACAGTTCTAAAATGTGTTGATAAATACTCAAGGCAGTTTATATAATCTTAAGACCGTCTAAAAATATGATTAAATAGATTCTGATACAGTCAAAAAATGTGTTCTAAAATCCCGAGACAGTCTAAACCCTTTAATAGGCTATATTTTTACCATAATGAGTGTAATAATATTTAGGTTTAAGACTGCTATATTAAAGCATTAATAATAATAATACTGGTAATACTAAAACCTAATGTCGTCATACGTAACAAAACCATGATATCAGTTTAGTTAGAGCAAGCAATGTAATCGAAGTTTATAAAGAGCAGTAGAAGATTAGTTGATGCTATCTTCAATGATTGAACACCTACCTCTAATAAGCGGGTTGGCAATGTCCGTGTATTTATGCTGAGCATCTAAAATGGATGATAAATTCATGTATGCAAATTACAGCAAATAACCAATGTAGGTATGGCGGTAGAGTAAGCAGTTCCCCTACATCGGTATATTTAGGGATAGTTTTGTTAGTTATTCTACCTCGGTACTGTTACGGGTCAGTTGTAGGTTAGATTACAATAGGTTAGAATAGTCTATAACGTACGGAAGAGGCGTCTGTGAGTTAAGTTAACCCCGGTGTGTTTTTAACCCCTGTGTTGTTACTGGTATTGTTATCCCAAGGTGTTAGTAGCAGCTAGGGACGAGGGCTTGTGTTGTAATGGTGAAGATGATAAGTTAAATAAAGGTTTGAACAGTTTGAATTGTGTTTAGAGTTGAACCAAGTATTAAACAGGTAGACCTAGAAGAATAGACCGTCTCGAACGACAATTGACTTTAACAAGTACATTACGTGAGAGTTGTGTTAGTTCTTCTACCTGGGTACATTCTGTTAGTACATTACGGGAGAATTGTGTTAATACCTCAACCTTGGTCCTCAACCTAAAAGGTCCCTAACATAAGTAACTGTACACGTGGACTAGAATTCAAACCCGACACTGTGTAGTCTTTTATTCTACCGCCAGACCAGGCCGCAAAATCATGCCTGAGAGTGTTGTAATGTTAAAAGTGGATTAATTTAGGAACGGCATTGAAACGCGTAATATAACAATTTAAAATAGAGCCCATATGTATTGTTGGATTTCTTATTCCAACTTTCATTTCCACTCGACAAACATCAGCAACTTAATTATGTACATACGAACGTTTGCCTTCTATATAAGAGTAATAATAGATTGCTATTTTTGGTTTTACAATTGAACCCACGGATCCTAGTGGGTCTACCCAATACGTTACCGTTTTCGCACACCCTATATGGTGGCATGCACTCCAAGCATGAGCTCTCGACATTGTGACAGAACTCCGGTCGACACGTACGCTGGTGCATAGAGGCACATCCTTGGTCGAAATAGGGATTGATGCAGACTACAAGTACAACGGATCATTAGTAATATCAGAGTTATCAAAATTCAGTATCTCTCTCTCTCTCTCTCTCTCTCTCTCTATATATATATATATATATATATATATATATATATATATATATATATATATATATATATATATATATATATATATATATATATGTTACGGTCAAAGCCCGAAGTCGGCCAATGTGCGGATTGGCCAATATCGCCTCCCATAGGTCGGTCAAAGTCCGAAACTTTGCTTCATTTCGGCATTTGGCCGGCCAATCCGCAGACTGGCCATGGTGGACCAGCCAAAGTCTGAAATACCTATTGATTTCGGCCTTTGGCCGGCCAGTCCGCAGACTGGCCATGGTGGACCGGCCAAAGTCTTAATTAGAAGATCATCTGGCTAGGGACGACCGGCCAAAGTCCGAATTAGAAGATCATGAGCAGATTTTGTTTTTTTTTATGCCGTAAGGATAATGAAATTAAGTCTTTTATTTATTATTAATTAAAGTAAATAACAGAAAAATCCAAATTTTTTATTGTACTATAGTCTCAATCAATCAATATTATAATTTGTTACAACAAGTTGAACTTTTATGGCATTTAGAAGTAAATAGCAGCTTGTTATTTTTACACTTGCAGCGATTTGTTGTGCACTTAGTTGTGCAATTGCAGCGAGTGTAACCTTAACCCCTCAGTCAATGATTGTGAAGATGCGATGGTTTGTAGTGATTTACCTCAGTGCCAACTGACGACAATAAGAACAGTTTTTCGTGAAGAATTGAAAACTCACTTCTAGCATACACTTGTTTTAGAACACCATGTTCCGTTCCTAATTTGTAGAGACCGCCATCGACGCCCATGACAACTACAATCACGCTTCGGGGATCACCTCTGTCAACATCTGGAACACGGATGCTTACTTTGTCACCCACCTCACCATCTTTAAATTTTGTATTTGATGTTTTAAGCATCTTAGCACCTTGAGTTTGCAAACCAGTGTGAGCTGCTGACCTGTGTTCCATGACGCCCAGGCCATCTCAAGTCGCTTGGACACTATTGTTCAACTTACAAGGAGCGCGGCAAAGTCTTTTGAACGTTCCGTCTTGTTGCAAGTGGTCGGTGACGCCGACTGTCTTTGATTTAGTTCTTTGATGATTGTCACATCATGGATGAGGCTGTCACATACAGTTGTAGCCCATATATGGAAACTAACATGGATTTACTTTTTTTTTCTTTTGACAGCTATGTTTGACGGCCTTTTCTATCCAAGTCGCCTTGCATATATACTGCTATACAAAAAAAGCCAAACAATACGTTACTCACAATGAAACCGCACCCAGAATAATGAAAACGCGATCACAACTTAGTCTAGATAGGACATTGATCAGTACGTCTCGGCCAGTGCGCGTATTGGCCGGTCAATGTACGAAATACGCTCTTAGTGCTAGGTTCTTCGGGCTTTGGCCAAGAGAGCCGGCCAATGCACGCAATCCGCACTTTGGCCGCACTTCGGGCTTTGACCGTAACATATATATATATATATATATATATATATATATATATATATATATATATATATATATATATATATATATATATATATATATATATATATATATATATATATATGTGTGTGTGTGTGTGTGTGTGTGTGTGTGCGTTCTTGCGTGCGTGAGTGTGTGCGTGTGTGTGTGTGTGTGTGTGTGTGTCGCGCGTTGCCGCTGGAATAGAAGAAAGTCTGTCGAAATATAGAAAAAGGGTTTTATCAATGCGTTACTAATAATATATTCTTAGGCGCCTGACATTGTTTTCAAAAAGTGAGTTATTTGAATTTTTAAAAATGCCTGCGTTTGAATCATAAATATCGGGACACAGGTTTACCTACACTACCGCATGAAAACCTTGAGTGTATGTTAATCACGAACAGAAATAATGAGGTAGAACACACTTCGGTGACCGCCCATGTGTCAGAGACGTAGAGGGGCGCTCTCTGGAGCCCCCGATTACACTATCGCAGAGGCGGTAATTGTTAGCGTTATGAATATTATGAGAAGCTCAATCTCAATTTCTGATTGGATCGTCTAAAAATAAATGCTAATTGCATTATTCGCAAAGTGAGGAAACTGTTTGGATTTTCGTACTGACAAAAAGAAACATCCCAGTTAATAATCTAACCTTGTTAATTTTTCTGATTATTAAAAAAATTGTATTACAGAGCCATTAGCGGCCCGTGTGAGGGAAAAAATGAAATCAGTGCAGCTGATCTGCTTCTAAATTTAACTAAACTTAGTCTAGTATCAGATACATATTATTAGACACATAGTAGGCAGGCCTAAGTAATTTATAGAAGCCTTCTAGAACAAAAAAGCAAGCTTTTTTAAAATTAAATTTAAGGAGCGTATTCTAGATCTAAGTCTAATATTTAATAGCACAATCTCTTTCAATTTCATATAATTTTGTTTGCTAGATAAAATTATTACAATCTATAGCTAGATTCAAGATCTTTGAGACAATTGCATTCTTTATTATTAGACCTAATTTTTTTTTTAATTAATTATTGGCGTATTTTGAATCAAATATAGATCTAATTTTTTTTAATTACATTAAATTAATTTTGTAGTTAAATTTTATTAAATAAGTAGATTCTAGATTATATGTCTGCCTTGCAGAGCCAGTCACTCAAAATCTAGATCTAATTTCGTTGACAACATGATTAGATTTAGAGGTAAATTTTAGATCTAAATATTAAATAAATATTCCAATTAAATGTTATTAATAAATTTCAATTTGGTCTATTATTATATTGTGAAGGCCGAGCGTATTTGTTTTATCAACAGATGTCTTATGTTAAAAATTCATAAAAAACGTTTTAATAACAAGCTTTTATGTAATAATGCACTAAAAAGTAGAAAATAAATTATAGACTACTATTTAAATAACTATAAAGAATTTTTTGCATGCACTCCGTAAATGGCTAGGTCGTTTGGAAATACTTTCGGTATGACCAGGGGTAAAAAGTGACCGCGAAGAAATTCTATTTATGTGAGCTTTATAACTGAAAACAAAACTATTGCCTAACGACCCCCCCCCCCCTTGATTCTTTGTCAGCTGTTAGAAGAAAGCATATGGTTGCCATAAAAAAAACTCGGCATATCTGGGAAAACTTCGTAAAGTGGTCAAAACTGACCGTCGTATTTCCTATATAATATTTCTTTTTTTTGGGGGAAAACAGGGTAATTACAACAGAAATTTTATGGTAGTTAACCTCTGTTCATCTGGCTAATTAGATAAATGCCAAGGCCGTATGGAAATACAGTTGGTCAGACTCTAAACCCTCGATGAGTGCTACAAAATGACCGCGAGTAAAATTCTTCTTATATGAGCTATATATTAAAACATTTGCCGAATGATCCCCCTAATATTTTGTGAGGTCGTAGTCCGACCCTGGGGGATAACAAGAAAACTTTATTCCCTTCGGAAAAACCCTTAAGGGCCGTTAGATTTGTACAGATGCCGTATTTTCTTATATAAACAATAGTATGTGAAAAGTAAACATACTACGTCATTTGGTCTATTTACAAGAAAGGTAACTTTTTAAAGTAATATTTTTAAAATTCTTTTTATATTATTTTCAACAAAAACTGAAAAGTACAAATTATATCATTCGTTTAAATAAGAATTTCGTTATAAATAAAATTATGTATCGTAAATAAATTGTAAAACATTAATTTTAAAAGTTTATTTAAAATAATACGCGAGTTATACTATTAGGGAAACCTTTACTGTTCTAATCACTTTCCGAGATATTAATGTGTGAACATATTAGCACTTCCACATGAAGTCACTCAAACTTATTAAACGTCAGCACTCTACTTAAATAACAGCCAATCACCAATTAATTAATCATTGAAATCTAAAATGTTTTTTTTTTTTTTTAAAACCTAAGCGAAGCTAGGCAGTATGCCTAGTCTATATATAAAGCATAGTGCTCGGGTGCCATTGATATTTTGTGAGGTGGTAGAAGATCGCCTAGGGGTGTCATAAAAAACAACATATCTGGGAAAAATTTGTAAAGTGGTCAAAACTGAACAGTCGTATTTCCCTGTATAATCTTCATTTTTTATGGGGAAAACAGAGGGTAATTTCAACGATGATTTTAGGGTAATTACCCTCAGAACACCTTGCTAATTTTTTGCATGCTCCTAGATCAGCGGTCGGCAGCCTGCGGCTCGCGAGCCGCATGCGGCTCTTTTGATGTCAAGATGCGGCTCTTCAGCCCCATGCACAAATATTAATAATTATTTCAATTTATTCTTGAAACTCATAAAATTATTATCGGGACTTGGGTTTACCTACACTGCCGCCACGAGGCGTGCTGTATGAAAGCATTGAGTGTAAGTTTATAAGTCACCGTAATATTACCGTTAATCACTCACCGTCTAAGTGTCGTGGGCGGAAAGTGGCGCTATCTTAAACCCGATTACACTATGGCAGTGGTGTCGCGTACAGCCCCTAGCACGGTTTAATCATCGAATGTCGTGTGCCGCATTATCAATATTGTAGGGTGCTTCTTAAAACTAACGTAGGCGCGTAGTGCTCGCGGGATAGCCCTGGGCGCCAAACCGCACTCTGCAGAGACGCCGGAGGACGCGAGTGAATCGATTTAGTGAGCGACTATAGCAACTCGTTGAATCCAAAGCCTTTCGCGGATGCCAAGTGTTAACATAGCCGCTCAGGAACTCTGAGAGTCAAACCGTGTATTGACAAAAATCTAAATCTCCCGGGCGCTGCCCATAGACATTGTTTTTTTCGCAGAAATCTTCTCGGGATTATATCATCTACTCTAGAAAGTTTCATGGCACTCGGAAAAACGGTGTCGAACCTTATCCGATTTTTATTTTTTTTACATACCGCACCCTCACGGGGCGCCGCCATTGCGAAATTTAAAAAAAAAAAATTTTTTTTTTTTTGCAGAAACCTCCCCTGACCTGATCTAAAGTTCGATGACGATCAGATGAACGGTGTCAATCTGCAATCGACTTTTACTTTTATAAATCGAATCGCTTCCTGTCGGGGCGCCACCCCAGCGAATTTAACATTTTATTTTCGCAGATACCTCCCTAGGAGTATTCTCAACAACTTCCTAAAATTTCATGGCGATCGGATGAAAGGTGTAGTAATTAATAAAAGACAGACACACACATACATACATTGCTTTATATAAATAAATGTATGTATATATATATATATATATATATATATATATATATATATATATATATATATATATATATATATATATATATATATATATATATATATATATATATATATATATATATATATATATATATATATATATATATATATATATATATATATATATATATATATATATATATATATATATATATATATACCTAATCCAAATCAAATATCACAATATTGAAATAAAAATGTTAGTGGCTCTTTGAAAGCTGAGAAATTAAGTAAATGGTAACTTTTGGCTCTTCCGTCTCAAAAGGATGTCCTAGATGGATGTCTAGGCCGTATTGAAAAACTGTCGGTTTGACTCAAAGCCCTCGACGAGTGCTAAAAAATGACCGCGAATAAAATTATATTTCTATGAGCTATATATCAAAAAATCTTTTGCCGAACGACCCCCCCCCCCTTGATATTTTGTGAGGTCGTAGAAGAACGTCTTGGGGTGTCAGAAAAAACTCGCCATATCCGGTAACAAATCTAGAAATGGGTAAAAACTGACCAGTGGTATTTTTCAATATAATCTTTGTATTTTATGGGGAAAACAGAAGGTAATTTCAACAAAGATTTTGGGGCAATTATGTATAAAAAAAAAAATTTTATAATACGTACTGGTAGCGTTTGTTTTTTAATTTGTGTCGGATTTTTAGCTATAATTTGGTTTTTTCTTTGCTTTATCGCTAATATCGTTCAACGTGTTGTAAAGCACAATGCGTTTTGAGCAATAAATATTTTATAAATTATTTTCCTCAAACATGTTTAACATTAGACATATAGAGGCCAATTATTGACGTGTAACGAATTTTATTTCAATTTAAATGGAATAATCTCGTAATTCTACAATAGGATGCAAATATTACTCACCATATCTACAATTCCATTCGTGTCTATGGGGCACATAACATTCCTGAAGACCATCACAGTCTTTTTTCTGAAACGGGCAAGAACAGACGTGCTCACACTCCAGGCCAAAATGAAAGGGGGCACATAGGATGTCTGTTGTGGTAGACAAATAGGCAAGTTTAATGGCAAATGTCTGACCATTGTCAGCAACACACACTACTCAAAGATATTGTAATTATGTTTGTTAATTAAAGTTTCCCTTCCAAACTTGGCGGTGTATGAAATTTTATATATAAATATTATATAAAATTTTCAGTACTATATCAAGGTTTAGTGGAAATAATTCTACTTTTGGTTTTTCAAAAACCTATAACTTGAGTACTGTTTAAGATAGATAAACGAAGTTTATCATATACATAAACGATTGAATTATCTGCCTTCGTTTAAATTTTGAGTAATTTCCGTCAACTACAAGTAATACTTTACGCTATTTCCGTTTTCTCATCAACAAAAAACGCATATAAAGTACTAATAATAATTCGCACTATTTTGCAGACATTGTTTGCTGCTCACTTTGTGTGTAATTTTTTTCTACGAGAATCTAATTTATTTTAAAAAGTTGAAATAATTAAAAATTGATTAAAACTCATGTCTATACCCAGAGTTGTCATCCCCCATAATATATATATATATATATATATATATATATATATATATATATATATATATATATATATATATATATATATATATATATATATATATATATATATATTCGATAAAGTTTAGGGGACATAAATCCCGCTTTATGAGTTATGTAAACATCTTTATTAACTTTTTTTATATTCCGTGATTCATTATTTCGAAATGTGCATTTACAATCATTTATAGTAGACCGTTTACTAACACTCATATAGCACCGCAACTTTCACACCATAACCCCAACAATAAGCGCAGTAAACACACTCTGGACACAAGAACCACAGCTGCTTACTCGCCTCCGATAACCTCCACTTCACAAAACAGAATGGTTTTGTTACTGCGAACACGGATTTCCAATTCCGACACTTCTGCTTCATTATCAATGCTAGGTATAGCCCACACTCGGCCGTAATAGTTGAAATATACACTATTCAGAAATCCCCAAACCCAACCGGAATTCTCTGCAAGCTTAGTGCCAAGGTCAAGCGACTCTCTCGTATTCTCTGCAATAATTAAAAAAACTTGCAATTACTGGGTCTAAAACGAGTGGGGGGTTTGTTTTTGCTTTAGATATTTTCCTCCTGGCTACGTGAGGGGGGGGGGGGGGGGACTTAGATTTATGGGGGGAGGTGAAAAGTGTTAAAAGTATATATTTTCATGATATAGCTATATTTCGTTTAGAGGGAGCGATAGTCGGTGAACTCCCCCCCCCCCCCCCCCCCCTCAAAGATGCCTCAGAGGATATAGGTGTGCTTTATATGAAATTATGTTTTTAAAGAAAGATTATATAACCTAAACGCCGTAGAGGTCAAAGTTGTGTAAATATTAGAAAATCTCATCTTTATTAATGCATGAGATGAGATTTCTATAAACAATAACTAAATATATTCTCTGTAAAGGACCAGATTCCCTCTAATAAAAGAGAAATGCAATTTTTTTTGGCTGCGAATAAATTAATGTTTTGAAATATTTTCTATTTTACTGTAACGAACTATGTTTTGTATTCCAGAAGGAATATCTCACCATTGTCGGTGTGGATGATGTTATTTATATATCTCACCATTGTCGGTGTGGATGATGACGTTATTTATATATCTCACCATTGTCGGTGTGGATGATGTTATTTATATATCTCACCATTGTCGGTGTGGATGATGACGTTATTTATATATCTCACCATTGTCGGTGTGGATGATGACGTTATTTATATATCTCACCATTGTCGGTGTGGATGATGACGTTATTTATATATCTCACCATTGTCGGTGTGGATGATGACGTTATTTATATATCTCACCATTGTCGGTGTGGATGATGACGTTATTTATATATCTCACCATTGTCGGTGTGGATGACGTTATTTATATATCTCACCATTGTCGGTATGGATGATGTCGTTATTTATATATCTCACCATTGTCGGTGTGGATGATGACGTTATTTATATATCTCACCATTGTCGGTGTGGATGATGACGTTATTTATATATCTCACCATTGTCGGTGTGGATGACGTTATTTATATATCTCACCATTGTCGGTGTGGATGATGACGTTATTTATATATCTCACCATTGTCGGTGTGGATGATGATGCTATTTATATAAGATGGTCTAGCCAAGGAAACTCTCCAGCTACTAGAGTTCAAACAATTGGAGTTGCCTGTATCCCCATCCACTGTGATAGGGTCTGTTGCCTGCTGTTTTAGAGCCAGGTTTCTTCCTATGGTCAACACATATGGAATAACCAAGTTCTAGAAGTTAGGTTTGGATTGAAATGAAGATCAAAGTTAAGTTTAACTTTAATTTTTTATGTTTTCTAATTGATATTGTAGTGCTAATTCACAATGTTCTATGTTTCCATCAGTAGAAAAGGAAGTACAATGGGCGATTAGTTCTTGATATAAACTAGTCTTTATACATTTTTTGGCCTAATAGCTGAGAATATCGCGTAGAACATAAGGTGAATAAAAACGTTGATTTCCGTATTTAATACTATTTTGACAACACACCAATTTATTATGACAAATAGAACATTATATTACGTCCTATTAAACTAATTTCATGTATTTAAAACATTCATTGAATGAGTAAAAGATGTTGAGGGTTTGAGAGTATGTGTGTAGTGGAATTAATAAAATATTCTAAATGCGTGACTAAGCAAGTTAGGATGTGACGTGGGAGAGTATGTTTTGGTTGTTAAGGCAAATAGTTATAGACAGTCTGAGTCTTGTTCTTGTCGCTTGAGGGTGTAGAAGTCTTCGTTATGTACGTCGTCGATGTATTAAGATGTAGTCACGTAAATTATATCTAATTAAAGATGAGAAATGTATCAAGGTCGTCCTGTCTTATTTTCTTTTGGATCGTCGTTGTATGTGTACGTATTCATCCAAGCATCGACCCAGTCCAGATACTCACTTCATAACACAAATCATAGGTGACTGACCTCGACTGAAATGTATCCTACATCTATTATCTTTTTCCCAATGCTTCATTATCAGTAGTCGAAATAAAAGGAATGGTTGGCAAAAGAAATCAAATCCGTAACTACTCAAGCGGGAGATGTAATATCTTTTGCATCCAAAATAGCTATTCATATTTGAATAAACACGATTCTCCTCGTAATTTGACAAAATATGATCTGTTTAGAGAAAAAAAATGCTTGTGTTTTAATATTTAAAAAATGGAAATCGAGATTTTGACAAATCTCTACGTTTTTCACCTCGGTGATTCAGAAAAAAAAACCGTAGTCTTAAAATTAGACTGTATGTCTTTGTGTGTTTGTGTCTCAGTGTGTGCCTGGGAATACGATAAGTTGAATGTGTATGTACAGACTCTAAATCTAATCGTGGATCAGTGTCAACAATAATATACCACATTTTAATGCGCCTTGAATGGTTGAAATTTTGTGAAATTGTGTGTTTTCTTTTCTGTCTTTCTTGCAGAATACGCAAGCAGCAATTTAAAAAACAAAAGAGTTTGTAATAAAGAGAGGAAACTTAGGGTGTCGTAATATTTGGGGTGGGTGGAGGGTTCCACATGGTGCCACATTTAAGATGGCTTGTTTCCTTGCCTTAATAGATATATTGGGGTTTAACATCACTTAAAGAAAACTAAGAATTTAAAATCTACTTTAATTACCTTTATAAATGAATCGAGCCCACGTAAAGTGCGACAGATAATAGTTGTTAAAATACCCTACGTGTACTTTATCGTGGAAGTCACAATCAGTCAAATTAACTCTTACACGTGGGTCAAAATGCATATAGTAATCCACTGTTAAAACATAGTAATTAATGTATACATGTAATAGTAACATTAGTATTACAAAGAAATGTGATGGGACTTTAAGACCATTGTTTTATATATAAATAATATTCTAGCTATTACGTCTAAGGCAATGTTCTGTACTATCATCATCTTTTCCCTTCTGAATATACACAGATCTATTTCAGGTAACAGATTCATTCTGGGGTAGATGACAAGATTTTAATTCATCATTTTTTTTTTTCTTTTTTATGCCAAGAAGTAGAGTTCATCTGTTTTCAATAACCTCAGCATGCTAGGGGATAGTGTGGTCAGTATTATGCCCAGCCGCCTTTGTTCCAATAACGCGAGTAAGGTACCCATCTAAGCTGGGTGTACTCAGGGACGTCATACAGAATCGAGCCCGGGGTCCAACCTCGATACTAACGAGTTAGCAGTTAAACTGGTGTGTGAGATGCTTTGCTATAATAGAGACACAGTGAATTGTATACAACAGTAATCGTCTCACTTGTCTCACAGTTAATTTAAATATTATTTAATATTGCTGAACATTATCGCAAGAATATTTAAGTATAGGATGTGATTAACGACAAAATACTTTCAATAAATTATTTAATATGATCCATTCTACTTGAATCTACTTTACCATACTGGCACTTGTGACCAAAGTAGCCGTATTCACATCCGTATTTACAGTCCCCCGTAGCGCTGCATGGTGTATTTGGCATGCAGTGACACATATACTGGCACTTAGAGCCGAACCAGCCGGTCGGACATTCTGCGGAGGGAAACGAAAACCCTGGCTTAAATCCTAATCAGATAATCTATTGGATTAGGAAGTCTTTAAACCTAATTATCTGGCCTAGAGATTATATATATATATATATATATATATATATATATATATATATATATATATATATATATATATATATATATATATAAATATATATCTGATGTATATATCAGATTCGAAATTCTTAATTGTGTTAAATGTTAAGCATTGTTAGGCCTATCCATCGATCAGTATCGTCAATTCCACACCACTTTAATACTTTCATAATTTTTTCTTTTTAATTTGGAGGCTGAAATGTATTTGTAAACTCTCTGGAAATACTTCCCACATAATACACAGTCAAATAAACCACACCAGGTCTTGTGTCCTGTATGAAAACTCCCTACAATTATATATATATATATATATATATATATATATATATATATATATATATATATATATATTAAAGTATATACATGTATAAATCCAATTGTGTCGCCTCTAGTATGTACGATTCCTCACAATGTGTATATCAATTCAACTTACTTATAGCCGGTGCGCCTAGAGTGACTCCAACAAAAACTGTAAACTTTACAAAAGCGGATATCATTTGTGAGTGTCGATTTGGAGGCAAAGCTGAAAGTTAAAAAAAATAGTTAAATTTAGTAAAAAATATATTGCTGTAGGCCTACAGCTGTTTTCATATCTTTTTATCTTAGAATAACGGCGCTGTACTAATATTATTATTACCTTTACCTAATTCTCTTTCAAACATAGATGTAAAAACGTAACAGTAATAATAAATTGTAATATAGGAACATTTGAACCTGAAATATTTAATATACTGTTGATAAACACAAACTTCTCTTACGTTTAAGAGCGATTATTTCATTTTCACAAAGTTAAACATTCGGCATCGAAATGTTAGAAAACCCTAAACCTAACAATATAACATTAAACAAAATTTAAATCCAAAGAGTTTATGACATGCAAATGGAAAATACTCGAAACGACAAATTTCTACAAATATATTATAGTAAAAGCATACGTGTGTGTTTTAATGATTTTCTAAAGACTAGACACATTTCATGCTTTTAAGTATTTCGGTAACGAAACTAAATTTTAAAATCAGTTAAAACGATGAGTTTTTCTTGTTTGTAGGCTTAATTAAAACCAAACTTTAACTAATTAGGGCGGCGTTGAATTTAAAAAGTATCCGTGTATCAAAATAAGCAGTTTCATATTATATTTAAAGGTGGGAGGGGGGCGTAGAAAGCTACCTAACATAACTCACGTTGAATAAAATAGCCAATCAAAGTGGCTTAGCGAAGTGAAACAAAAGAGTAAAATGTTGAATTCATGTAATTATAAATACAGTTATAAATGAAATTATATGTAGCCTTAAAAGCAAGCATATTATCTAGATCTCTACCTAAAAAATTCTATAACATAATTTCTAACATATACAACTTCTTAATTATACTAAGCATGATTAAAGTTTTTTTTAATTATTGTTACTGCTACTCTGAAGACTAATTTAACAGAAACACGTTTTTTAGTTCATGTCAACAATATGAACGGGTCTTCTTCTTATATAAGACAAATACCAGCTTTACAGATGTAGATATAAATAAACAATCACTCAATTATCTAATTGAGGAAGGGGTTATCAAACTGACCAAGCAAAAGTATAACAACAATGAAGATAATTCGAGACTATGTGGTTGTAAGGTACAGCGCTTGAAAACATGCTCGAAATCGATTCCAAACTTAAGTAAGGACGTCCCAAAGTCCACCCAGCTGTTTAGGGTACCTGGCTTATGTTTAGAAAGTAAAAGCGAATGAGCGTAGTGCTGACCACTGGGCGGTCAAGAAAATACCTGAGCTCTACTTCAACTGACTCGCAGATCGCCAGTTCTGATAATGTAACTTTTGTGTTCTCTAGCTAATTCAAATGTAAGGAGTTTGTTCTTAGGATATCTTCGTCATACAACATGGAGTTTCTAAATAAATAGATCTACTATAGCAGCTATCCTTAACTTATTATAAAAAAATGCACGCTGCTTTACTTATTCCTTTTATGCATAACAGCGTCCTCAAAACAGAAAAAGTATGTACATACTTATGGGTACACGTAGTCTTATGTTTATATTCAGTAACAAGAGAAGCAATCCTCTTCCTTCAAAGGTTTCTAATTGTTTACAATGTGTATTACGGCCATGTTTATGGTGTCTGGAAAAAAATTGTGTTGATTCATGTTACTACGTCATATCTCTTCTTCATTTGTATTAGAGATTTTTTGTGTGCTTAATATTATATTTTTATTTTATTTTATCTTCTATTTTATTCATTTTAAAATAAAGGTTTTGTACACACGAAAATCATATGAAAAAATTCCATTATGTGTTTGCGTTCGAGAAATAATAGAGCTAGATCAAAAAAAGTAAGAACATAATTGCGAATATCTTGTTTAGATAAGGCCCACTTATTTGTAAATATATGTTCCAACAGTGCTTTTTAACTCAGCGAACTGAAAAAGCGAATTTTATGATTACCTAACATTTTACCTATAATTAATTATCATTTACCTAATGATTCTTTCAGGCTACCCTGGCCAAGATATGGGAGGCTCGCCCATTCATCCGAATGATACTAGATCGTGCATTGCCGTGTATAGAATGATATGATAGCAGCGCTATCTACATCGCGAACTATCGATCGTGTTTAAAGAAAATATTCGAGGGACACAATGTCCAACTGCTTATTGCAAGTATCTTCATGGCATCTTCGAAAAATGTCTACCGTTCACACCATTTCCACACTGACAATTGCGATTATTAATTCGTTATTTCTGGATGGATGGATGGATGTGTGTGTGTCCGCAGCTTTAAGTCGTATCTCCTCCTCAACGAAGCAATATCGAGGACTAGTTCAAAAGCAAATATGTTTAGCAAGTTTCGAGGATGATTGTGGGCCAAAAAAATTCCCGGAATTCCTTCCTGGATTTCCCGGAAAAGCCAAAAAAACTCGAAAAAATGCAGTTTTTGGCCCATATGTCGGCAACCAGACCACTTAGCGACTTGAATTTAGAACAATATTGCCGAAGAAAGTTTTCAAAAATATCCTTTCGTTCGGTCACAAAAAATTAATTAAGGAAATCGCGCTTAAATTGTCACTAGACTTTTTATTTTACTTGTTTTTCTTTAGAGTGTATTCTCCCCCCCCCCCCCCCCCTCCCCATCCCATCTAGAAAGAAGTAGACTGGAAGAAAAACATTGTCGAAGTTTCATTGATTGTTGAGAAAGTGTCTTGTATATTAGGATATTAGGTGATAAAGCAATCACACTTAAATGAATTAATTTAATTAACACTACTTGACAAAAAATAGAAGACACAATTGATCAACTGTTTGAAACTTTAGGAATAAAATTGCCAAATTAAAAAAAAAATAATGATGGTGAAGGACAAACCAACACCTAAACCGTACGATTAGGAATGAACGCGTTAAAACCGTGAACAGCGATGGACCGATTTTATCCACAAAGAGGGACAAGCGTTGACTATCTGACAGCTGATCAAAGGGAAATAACAAGAAAAATACACATTTCTACAGTAAAACTAGGTAGCATCCCTTGTTTCTGTTGAAGACACACAATATTGTTAGACGCTCAGTACACAAACAATACAATAATTTATTTTCATTTAATCTATAATGTCTAACCACCCGTCACACCTTCTCCATCATGTGTTACACGTTTGATTTATATATAGTAAAAAATTATGTTTAATCATTACATTTTACTCTCTAGTCTTCTTGATTTCATAGTAACAATGAACAATTAGCGCTTAGTAAAGTACATGGACCGTTGTGGAATGGTTTTTTTTTTTTTACCTTTTAGATAGCTCCATTGAATAACTCAATAATGACATTGAATTACCTGGCCAATTGCATTTATGTGGCAACAAAAGACATTGACTTGACGATAACAATAACTTTACAGTAACCTGACAATTATAAAAATGTACTTCTCTTGTACCTGGCTGAGACAGTGTACTTGTCTTGTACCTGACTGATACTCTACTTGTGTCTTGTACCTGGCTGAGACAGATTACTTGAGTCTTGTACCTGACTGAGACTCTACTTGTGTCCTGTACATGGCTGAGACTCTACTTGTGTCTTGTACCTGGCTGAGACTCTACTTGTGTCTTGTACCTGGCTGAGACAGAGTACTTGTGTCTTGTACCTGGCTGAGACAGAGTACTTGTCTTATACCTCTCTGAGACACTACTTGTGTCTTGTACCTGGCTGAGACAGAGTACTTGTGTCTTGTACCTGGCTGAGACAGGGTACTTGTGTCTTGTACCTGGCTGAGACAGAGTACTTGTGTCTTGTACCTGGCTGATACTCTACTTGTGTCTTGTACCTGGCTGAGACTCTACTTGTGTCTTGTACCTGGCTGAGACAGAGTACTTGTGTCTTGTACCTGGCTGAGGCTCTACTTGTGTCTTGTACCTGGCTGAGACAGAGTACTTGTGTCTTGTACCAGTCTGAGACAGAGAACTTGTGTCTTGTACCTGACTGAGACTCTACTTTTGTCTTGTACCTGGCTGAGACAGAGTACTTGTGTCTTGTACCTGGCTGAGACTCTACTTGTGTCTTGTACCTGGCTGAGACAGAGTACTTGTGTCTTGTACCTGGCTGAGGCTCTACTTGTGTCTTGTACCTGGCTGAGACAGAGTACTTGTGTCTTGTACCTGGCTGAGACTCTACTTGTCTCTTGTGCCTGGCTGAGACAGAGTACTTGTGTCTTGTACCAGTCTGAGACAGAGTACTTGTGTCTTGTACCTGACTGAGACTCTACTTTTGTCTTGTACCTGGCTGAGACAGAGTACTTGTGTCTTGTACCTGGCTGAGACAGAGTACTTGTGTCTTGTACCTGGCTGAGACAGGGTACTTGTGTCTTGTACCTGGCTGAGACAGAGTACTTGTGTCTTGTACCTGGCTGAGACTCTACTTGTGTATTGTACCTGGCTGAGACAGAGTACTTGTAACTTGTACCTGGCTTAGACAGAGTACTTGTGTCTTGTACCTGGCTGAGACAGAGTACTTGTGTCTTGTACCTGGCTGAGACAGAGTACTTGTGTCTTGTACCTGGCTGAGACAGAGTACTTGTGTCTTGTACCTGGCTGAGACAGAGTACTTGTGTCTTGTACCTGGCTGAGACAGAGTACTTGTGTCTTGTACCTGGCTGAGACAGGGTACTTGTGTCTTGTACCTGGCTGAGACAGCGGATGTCACTGAATGCAGACATTTCTGACGGGTAACTGACGAGAGTGGACAAACAAAAGCGGCTGGTCATTGTGTTGACAACAAATTCTTGTCTGAGAAAACGATGGACTCGATCAAATGGAGGGTCACATAAAAATCTTATTCTGTTTTTTTTTTGTTTTTGTATTTTTTTTTTGGTTGTTTTTGTTTTACGTTTTAATGAGATTGAACATGTCTACATAAAAAAAAAATGTGTATGCATTTATGTTGTAATATTTACTAAATACTTTTATTTATCTTACAACTTATTTTAGTTAATTTACCGTATTTCATTTATTTAGGTCTGCTCCTTTCCACTACATGAGTAACTAAAGTCAAACTTGGGTGTATTTTAATCAGGCCTTTTATTTTGTAGGGTCTACAGTACAAATCCTGTTGAACCTTGTATTTTTTGTCTCTGAAATATTGATTTAGCTGAATCTTCACATGTCTACTTAATAATTCTA